TAATTGTTTTTTTTTAATTAAAGTTAAAATGTTGTATTTCGGAAAAAAAATTTTATAAACATTATAGAATATTAAGGATTTTTTAGGGGTGTTTGAAAGTATGGTATATTTGAAAGGTGAAAAAATCAGTAAATGGTTTGTTTATAATAGACAAAAGTATTTATTTTTTTCAAAAAATGACTAAAATACTGTTGAATGTAAACAATTATTTATTTTTATAGAAAAATAATCAAGATTTTATAAAAAAATATTGCTCCGAAATTTATTAAAAATGTAAAAAATCATACAAAATTGTAAATTTTTATGTTAAAAACAACAAAATATGTTTAAATACTTACATTCAATGTAATTCCACTCGTTTATTATACGAAAAAGCAAAACTAATTATTTTGTCGAGCACCGACTTTGCACACACTGCTGCCACACTAGTGCAAATAAGCACCTCCTCAAAGTTTTGGTACTGCTGCTGTAGCGGTTTAAAAAAAAAATGGCGCCGGTTCACTGTGAAGTTAGTACCCTAGGGTAATGACATATTTGTCGTACTGGGGGGAGGCCGTTACAGAACGCAGATAGAAAGATTCAGAAGCAAGAAATTTTAGGTGGTGCAAATTTGCACTGGTGTGGTTACTACGGGTTAAATATAAGAAATCTTTAATATAAAATTTTACTTTGTCTCTCATATTTAATATCAATATATTATGTTTATTTAAACGTTTATTTAAGCTTATTTAAACGATTGTACAATAATTATTAAAATTTATCGCGGATTATATGCAAAGGGAATAGTTATGTGCTAATTATGTCCATTTATTTCAAAATACGTAAGCAAACAAAAAAAGCTCATAAAAGGCGCGGAATGTAAAGGAATAACAAAAAATATAAATTTTTAATACACATTCTTAGTCATAGTAATTAATATAAGCATTGGTGTAATTTGCAGAGATATAATATGATTTATTTCCTTGTTTTTTTACATCAATTCATGAATTGTAGATAAATTTTATATATAGCACAAAAGAGAATACACCTATAAATATTGTGACACAATCAGTGTTAAAATTTACATTTTCAAATCTTTGAGATAAAAAAGCTATTCTGTTCTATATATGGATTTAAGAATATATAATAAAAATATAAAAAACAAGATTTTAGAATATGCATGTCTGTGTTTGCTGCCATTGTTTCAAGGAACTCTTTTCTGATATTTGAGCGCCAAGCTATTTAGCGGCGGTCTGGCCTTCAGGACTCCAAGATCAATGGCATGACCGGTGAGAGGACAGCTTTGGCACCGTTTACGCCTATAATTGGTATTGCAGGCATTCTTTTCTTGTCGCACCACGTATTTAGGAAAGTAATGGATGCGCTTTTTCTGCACCGTCGCACACAGCGGCATCGTCACCATCAAATCTTGCTTATGAATCTTGCCTACCGACTCCGGAAAAAGACGTTCGTTCAGCAGATACTGTTGCAAAGATCCCGACGATCTAGACGACGTCAATGTATAACTCGAGCCATGCGTTTCGAAATAATTCTGCTCTCGAAATTTTCTCAAACCTTCTACATCTTGGTCCACAGAATCAGTTGCAAAACCATCATCATGCTTCAAGCACCGGTCTCTTTGCTCGCAATATTCCGGCAAACTGTACATTCGTACATGTTCATCTTTGTCAAATTTCACGGCCCTGCTCGGTTCGTTCCTGCAACAGCAAGGACAATCTTGTTTGCGCAATTGCGTTGTTCTTTTACTTCGTGTCGGCGATTTCGAGGTAGGTCTTTCGCTTGACTTTGGTATTTGCCTCTTAGATCTAATAGTCTTTCGTAATGTTGACTTCGACAACTTTCGCGAAGACACTCGAATTCCTTTGCTCAAAGTGCAGGCGACATCGTCGAATTCGCTTCGTTCGCTCGCCAGTGAATTTACAGGCGTTCTTAGGGATGCTGGAAATGATTGCTTCTTATCGACATGCTTGTGTTCATCTGGCAATGTTAGTTTTTCGTCAAGAATGGTATCTTGCATCTTCGGGCTTGTCATAAATCTGTGATAATTGGACAATCGCGGACATGTTCGCAAGCAATCTCCCTCACCTCCAGTTTGTAATTTGCAGATTTTGTTCTGTACATTGCGAAGGAATTGAGATCTAGGCGTGTAATCGATCTTTTTAACTCTCCTGAATGTTTCACAGCTAATTGGCGAAGTTAGTGCAAGCTTATCTTCAGTTTCTCTTATTAATTTAAATTCAAGTTGGCTTTTACAATGATGGCAAGGCAAGGCAGGTTTGCGTTGAGAGTTCAATGATGATTTTATGTGTTTCTTATTCCCTTCATAATTACAATAACATTCTTTTACTGGTTTTCTAGGTGCAAATTGTTCTTGCGGTTTTTTAGATGTTAGTGTTAGTTTTCCAGGCAACGTCGTGTTTGGCACTGACATAGTTGTACGTTTAGGACTGACACAAAAGTAATCTGGATTTAAAACAGCATTAATTTCGCTTGAATCATTGCGCAATTTCCATAAATTAGTATTTCTTCTTATACTGCCTTGACTCATATGATTACAGCAATTTATCAAAGATCTGCAAAGAGATGATATAAATAAAATTATTCAAAATAATATGAAAATTTTTACTTATATATAAAAACCATTTACAATGTTTTCGAACGTAATTTCTTCACTTCAGCATCAATCCGTTTAGAATTTTCATCAACATGTGCTAATAATGTTCGACTTCTCTTGCGCAACTTTTCTAAGCTATCATTGAATGCCTCTCCCATATGTTTAAGACTTGCGATAAACTATCATTATTAACGTCATATATAGCAAAATTGCAAATACCCGATTATATTTTATTTGTACAATTTACTGTTTTTACAACAATCCAATTTATATACTAATATATCTAAATTAAAATTAGAAAATGTGAATGTGTTATATTGTCGTAACAATATGCTATATTGGTAATCAAAGTTGTTAATAAATTAAAACAAGTGAATTTAAAATTAATTTAAACATAATATTATGAATTACAACTTTTGCCTTAATATTTTCTTTCATAAATGCATATAAGTATATATAATCGTATTTGATTTCTTAACCTAATGTATAACCTAACTTTTATTTTATTTAATATTTATTCAAAATCACTGCACAACAAATTTATCAGCGATGAAAATTCATGGAAATTATAATATGTTTATTCACTTTTCTTTTCACGATTTCTCCAACAACTTAATACGTGCTCCAAAACTTTTAACACTCATTGATCGCCATCGACATGAAGTTTACGTCCACTTTGGACTTTGCATAAAAAAAAACAGAGACGCGTTAGATTTTAGGTTAGCCAAATCTTGAAACATGCATTCTTTATGTGCTCGGACATTAATTCAAGCAGAGGTTTACGAATCGATTGTTCATTCATGTGTGTGACATTTTATTTTCTACGGCGCGCATCTCCATATTGGAACTTGGGATTGGCTACGTTTCAGTTGGCGATCGCAACGCTTGTGAAATCATTTTATCCTTGTTATTTACCGTAAGTTAAACAGAGACAGATAATACTCGCAAGCGTTGAGATTACCAAGAGGAACGTAGCCATTGGCCGCATTCAGCGGAGAAAATCGCTCAGCAGTAGCAATCGAACGTGATTGGCTCTTACTTTTAGAACCAACAAATCAACGTCAAGTGTTGACAAGACAATAATTGAGCGCTTTCTCTGCCGAACGCGCCCAATGTGTCCACAAAGCAGCGCGATAGCTGGCACGAGCGAGACGCGAGACGGCGAATTAACGATCTCTCTCTCCCTCTCTCCCTTCCCCTTCCTACGACCTCGTTCTTCCTGTCATTGCTTGGCGTATTGCACCGTTCTGTCAAACTTGGAACAAAAAGGGGTGAAAGCCCGTGAGTTGCGAGCGAGTGAAAGTTTGTGTGCAGGGTGGGGCCTCTTTTGCAAAAATTTCATTGGTATCGCGATCGCCGAAGAAGATGAATTAATCTATCCGCATCTGTCGCACCTAGTATTGTTAAATTATACCCTTTACACGATTAATCGCCCGTGAATTCGATCGGCTTCGAGACAGCTGCGGAGAAAACAGCCATGGAGGACGACTTGCCGACCGAATACGATGTGGTCGTCGTAGGAACAGGTATTGATTTTTATCAATACGAGAGAAAAGAACGAGTCACCCCGTATTCGCCGGGAAACGAATTTTTTCACCAATAATCACTCTCGCTATCATGATTCCCGACAGGTATGACCGAGTCCATCGTCGCCGCGGCGGCAAGCAGGATCGGCAAAAAGGTTCTACACCTGGACAGGTGATGCCCGGCCGGCATTTATCTTTTTCTATCTCCTGCATCGTTAATTATTATTCAATCCCACATATATATGATATACGTAATTGCAAAGACGATTAATATATTCATTGTCTCATTAAATATCAAAAAATGTCAAAATTGTATATGAAATAATTATGATACATTTAATATACCATTAATTGCATGTTAATTATAGTTAATAGTTTTGTAACTGAATATTAAACATTTTTTCAAAATATGAAAAAAGATATATATATTATTTATTTATTTATTTATTTATTTATTTATACATATCAAAAAGATTATATAAAATTTGCTCATGTATTTGAGAAAAAGGAAGAATTAGTAATCTATCTTTTATCTTGAATTTTTATCATTTTTGTTGTCAGAGATAAAGAGATCTGCACACATTTCTTGGAATGATATGATAAGCTATTTATAACAAAGACAATGAAATATGCAATAATTATATACTTTTTTTTTTAAATAAGTGTTACTTTTTAATTTAGCAATGAATATTATGGAGGTCTTTGGGCTACATTTAATTTTGATGGCTTACAAAAATGGATAGAAGATTTAAAAACAGCTAAGAATAACACTAGAAATATAAATATTGATTTGGAAGAGGGTGAAAAATTTTTAAAGGCTAGTGATCAATATTCTACGGTTGAGAATATTGGAGAAACCTGGTATATTTACAAGTAAGAATTGAACATATATTAATTACTTGATGATTTCTAAATATTTTACATATTCTAACTAGAGGTTTTTTTTTTCTTTTCTTTATAGTGAGGCAGATTTGCCTGATGTTTCCTCAAAAGATACCCAAACTGAGAGTTCTGGAGATAGCGCCGCAGCCGAAAATGCGGAAAAGACTGATCAGGACAAAGCTGACAAGAAAGATAATGAAACAATGAAACAATGGAGCATAGACCGTATAAAAAAAGAATATAGAAGATTTAATATTGATCTGGCACCTAAAGTAAATATATTATATCTGTAACGAAACAAGAGAATACACATACGTATATATCTCTTTTCAATATATAATATGTGATTTTTATTATAGCTATTATTTGCCCGTGGCGAATTAGTGGAACTGTTAATTTCTAGCAACATTGCACGTTATGCCGAATTCCGTGCAGTTTCTAGGGTTGCTACTTATATGGATGGTAAACTTACGCAAGTTCCTTGCTCTCGAGCCGATGTATTTGCGAATAAAACTGTTAGCGTGGTCGAGAAGAGAATGTTGATGCAACTTCTAACATCTTGCATGGAACAAGGTGCCGATAGTCCAGAGTTTGATGGTATGTAACATGAAGTGTAGTTTCTTGACTTAATTATATATTTCATCACACATTTATAATTTAATCTGAATCTAATTTATCTCATTTACCTTTTAGGTTTCCGTGATAAAACATTCTTAGAATATCTTAATACAAAAAATCTTACACCTATAGTACAGCATTATGTTGTACAAGCTATTGCAATGGCAACGGACAAAACATCATGTAGAGATGGTGTTAATCGTACGAAACATTTTCTCAATAGTCTTGGACGTTATGGAAATACACCCTTCTTATGGCCTATGTACGGAAGCGGGGAACTGCCTCAATGCTTTTGCAGGTATATTTTGCAAGAATGTATGTCAAACTTTTTTTATAAATAAATGACTACAGTATTGTAAAAATAATTTTTTCTGCATTTTTTTAGACTATGTGCAGTCTTTGGCGGAGTTTATTGCTTAAAAAGACAATTAGACGGTGTGGTAGTTAATGAAGATAAATGTAAAGCTATTATTACTGGAAAACAGCGATTAGCTTTGGAGCATTTAGTTGTAGGACAAGGACACTTGCCACCAGAGATTGTAGCCTCCGAAGGAGAAAATCAAATTTCGCGCGGAATTTTTATCACCGATAGGTATTTCCTACACGCGATTTTATGTACAATTTAGAAGATAATTATATATAATATTACATATTGTATATATGCGCACACACAATATATTTTATTAGACATTACTTTGTTTCTACAGGTCTATTATGCAAGGCGAAAAAGAAAGTCTAACTCTTTTGTACTATCCACCAGAAGAACAAGGTCAAGAACCTGTTACTCTAATTGAATTGGGACCATCCACCAATGCTTGTCCTCAAGGATTGTGTATGTATAAAATTAATGTGAATATATTTCAGAATCACTTCGATTTGTGTCTATATCGTATTTTTCCTTTCTTTTTCTTAGTCATGGTTCATATGACATGTAAACGTACTAAGAATGCAAAGGAAGATCTGGCATATGTCGTGAATAAGTTCCTGAGAGCTGAACCATTTGATTCCACCAATGCTTTACGTAATTCTTCTCATACCCAAACGGTTTCTCCTGATAAACGACATCTTCAGGTAATAAAAAAATTTTTAATATATATAAATTAAAGTAAACCTCTGACATGTTTAATCGATTTCTTTTTAATAATTATATTAGATTGATCAAAAAGAAAAGGAAGAAAGTGAATATCCACTACCTCGAGTATTATGGTCCTTGTATTTGAATTTACCTGCAAGCGATATTAAATTAAGCAACTCTGCGCCGAGTAACATACACTTATGTTCTGGACCAGATCTTGAACTTGATTTCGATTTTGCCGTGAACCAGGTATAATAATACATATTAATAACGAAATCTCATACAGTAACATAATATAATAAACTCACATATATGTATATAGTAATATAATATAATAAAATAACTTTATTTATATGAAAAATACAATTAATTATTTAAATGCTTTCTTCTTCCTGTAAGTAATTATATCTTACATGATTCTTAATATATTAAATATGTCTAATATAGAATGGTAGCTTATTTGATTACTTTAATATATATAATAAATAATATACTTTCTTATTATTTAAAATTGTATTAAGTATATATTCTTTTTTTTTAACTTGTTTTTTATTTCTAGGCTAAGAATATTTTTGAGTCTATGTACCCGGATGAAGATTTTCTACCGCGTGCACCTGATCCAGAGGAAATCGTTTTGGAAGGCGATGAAACACCAGGTCCGAAATTCGAGGGTGGTGAGCCTGCAGAAGGTGAAGAAAAGCAAGACGTTGAAAAGGCCGAAAAAGAAGAATGAATAATTATGATACAATGCTTTTGCGTCTCCAATATGGAAGAGAAGATAAGGCTTTTGCGCCTTTAGTGTCTTTTACCTTTATCATTATTGCATTTCCTTATAAAACGTATAAAATTAAACATATTTAAAAAAAAAGAAAAATTAAAACCATGAGATACCATGTGAGACAGTAATAACAAGGAGAAATTTCACTTGTCACAGATATTTATCTTGTTTTGTGTTATTCATACACGTTTTTCGTCTATTCAGAATATTTTCATCATTGAATTACGTATCTCCGATTTATCTCACGCCAATATAGATAAGACAGTTTTGCATTTCACAATTTATTTATAATGTGAGCAGATAGTATTATGCTTTTGTAAGGACACAGACTCGTTAGGAGAGCACAAATGCGTTTACCAAAGTAAATATAAATTTATTATGTATTTATTAGGTTCACATTTTTTAATATTATTATTTTTATATATATTAATAATTCTTTTTGTGGAATTGAACGCATATTACATAAAAAAAAAATTCAGATGCATTTTGAAATCCATTCTAAGTAGACATAGCGCTATCATTAGATTCAAGATATACATATGCTACAGATCACAACAATATTGGTAGAAATGATAAAAATACAAAAATATGGCTTCACGCTTTTATACTTTAATAGATATTAATAGTACACTGCAATTATATATAATGTATTGTATGTGCACGAGTCATTTAGATAATTGTCATTATGTATGAGATTGATAGTTTGTATTATGTACATTATACATAAATGAATATGTTAGCTTCAATGCACTTGTCACAATATATCTGTAATAAACATGAAAAAAAATGCGCAATCTAAACTCGATTGAAATTAATAATTTGTTAACAGTTTAGTGCACAATTGTCATTTTTGATGCATTATGTTATAATAAATAATTTTTTCAATGATTTTATGTCGAACGAAAAAAAAAGGAAAACATTAATTATTTTATCGAATTTATATTTGTGTATATAATTATGAACGTGGTTGTACTCATCCAACGTGTTTGTGGCTTAAATAAGATAACAATTGAAAATGGTTTTTAGTACTTATTTTTAGAGATATAAATCATCTTAGTCTATTATTCATATAATTTAATTTTATGAGGAAGCAATTAATGTTATTTATTTTAGAGCTTTTCTTATAACAAATTATATATATATAATGTAAAATTTCACAGTATAACTATTAATATGTTAAAGAATAATTCATTTCCTTATTAAAAGTAAAAAGAAATTCGTGGCTGTGAGAAGTAGCATTTTTTTCTCATTTTAATATTTATATGCTTTAAGTATAAATGCAGACTCATAATTTTTTTCAAGACGTATATGAGCTTTAAAAACCAAACTGATCAATTCTACACTTTATTTTAGTACCAGAACATTAATCATGTGCACTGGTACTAAAATTAAATTTACGAAAACTAAAGTTAATTAATTTGTCTTTTTAGAGGCTCATCTACATTGAGTTTTTTTTTATTTTATAGATATACTTCTGGTACTTTCATTATCATGTATTTTTATAGGATTGCAAAAAATTAATTTATACGAAAAATCTTACAAATATATTTATTATTTTTCTTTTGCATTTAATATTATATATGTATAACAACATTTATACTATTTAATAACATAGTAAGGATTAATTAACATGAATACAAGTTTTCAAAGAGATAATTGTGATGTTTGTGTTATACATGCAAATAATTTCTAACAAATTAATTTCTTTATAATATATATCAGCATTTGTTTACAACGTTACACTACATATTTAATTATGTAATAGTACCTTTTTACAAAACTATGTACTGCTTTCATAAACATAAATATTTTTATTTATAAACATCTTATTTCTTACGAGTTAATTGTATTTTCAAAAAAACTTAGATTGTCATAGAAAACTGTATGACCTAATATAATTTTTGTCGATTACATATACAAACATAATAAAATCTATATTTTTTGCCACTTTTTTGTCGATATAGTTTGCTCGCTACATTTTTAATATCAATGTATAACATATAATACAAATTGCAATTATGATCTAAAAATAAAAGTGAACATATACAGAATCATTACACATATATAAAGATATAATTTAATTTAAATTAACACGAATGCTATCTCTATTCATGAATATTCTCTCTCTTTGTTCCTTATTAAAAATAAACCATTATGATTTAAAAGAATGTTTGTATTTAATAGTTATGCTTTGTATATATATGATAATTCTAAAGAAAAAAAATTTAGAACTTAGAATACAGGAAGTAAACTATAGAGTTCATAATAAGAAAAAAAAATGTCATATAAATATATATATATCCATCAAGCTTTATATTTGAGTTATAATAAATTAAAGAAAATGCTCGAGATGTGATATATATATAATATCAATTGTTCATACATATATAAATTTTAAATTATATATTCAATTATTTTTTTATACAAAATCTGAGATATATATATATAATAAAAATCTGCACAAATTCCAACTTGATAGATAACAATAGATTGTCAGTTTTCAAAGTTTAATCAGCCTTTGATCTATAATCCAGAATACTTTACCTCTGCCATAGTAACAATCTTACAGATCTGCATTTTAATATCCGCTTGTACTTCCTTAGGCAAATTCAACACAGTCTGCGCCATACTTGCAAAAAATAATTCGATACTACTCTTGTGGGATGTAGATGTTATCTTAATATTATGCAAACCTTTACTACTGGCCATGGTGTTCAAATTTGCATTTACATTTTTGTTAACCTTGCATTCCTTAATTGTTGATATAATACTTCCGGTATCACCATTGTCTATTCTAATGCAATGATTTGTTTTGCTGAGACTACCCAAGGTTTTATTCTTACTTGGCACATTCACATTTGATGTTAAGATGGGTATATTCGACGGAGATGGCATTCCAAATGATTTATGTTTTAATGGTGAGGCACCAAATGGTAAAGATATTGATGGTGAAGGTTTTGGTTGTATCGGGCGGAAGCGATCCTTCCACAATCCAAATTTTAAGTCTGTCGTGGAGTAATTTAGCTTTGATGTTGAAGACTGCAACTTGATGAGATCTAACGATGTCTTCCTACGTCTACCTCTACGTTTCGGCAAAGTGGTATTATATTCTTCTATTGGAGGAGACAGATCAACTGCTAGAGTTTCAGTGTCAAAATTTTGTTCACATTTAATCAACTCGACTTTGACAATATTCTGGTCGATTTCTTCCAATGCTTCATTGCAAATTACTTTGCCATTGTGTTCCATTTTTTGATTATTGCACTTTAAATCTTATATTAAAATTATGTGGTTTCTTCCTATTTCTGATGCTACAATAAAAGATATTATATTGAAAAATATAACTTTTAAATCAATAAGCTATATTTAATGAAAAAAAGCCTTTCATAGATGCGTTAACTTTCAAAAACTCATATTATATTTTGCATATATAATTTTTAGAGCATTAAAGTTTTGATTAGTGATAAAATCTTTTTGTCATCATTAATTAAAACTCATCTTTCCAAATAACTACTTTTTAACATTAAAAAATGATATATTTTTTTATATTTTATTTTTACAAAGGAATAAGAAAAAAAGGAAAAAGCCTTTAATTCTTTTATGTAGAACATACTTGGAGAAATTTTTCATTTCTATCTTTTACACAACTGTTCGAAAGAGTAACTTTTTAGAATTTTATTATTTATTCATACACAATATGTGTGCTATGAAATCAGACTTACCAACTGGTCGAAAAAGGATATATCATAACATAGAGAAAAGCTAGAGAAGCTGACATTACATTTATCGTACAATGTGTTTGCTGGACGTACCGATTGGCTATCAAAGATGGACTATTTCCCGTGTCTCGAAAGTTTCTTGCAACAGCAGCCAATCGATACATTCGACAAAGCTTATCATACGACGAATGTAATATTAGCACTTATACAAGTATCGTTGTTATATCGCAATTAACAGTTTGCATATGCCAAGTAATGTGATGCACATTATAAAAATATATAACATGTTAATTAAATATAATCTATAATATATTGATCAATTATTAACTCAATTTAAGAAATTCAATTTATGAAAAAGAGTTGGAGAAATGCGTAGGAGTTTCTGATTTCTTCGATTCGTAATAGTATTATAGCTGCGTTTCGATATTCACTGCCAGTACTGAAAATCTATAGTGTACGTGACTTAAACTATAGATTTTCAGTATTGGCGGTGAATATCGAAACGCAACCTATGTACATATACATATATTTTTTATGCTTTATTGTCACTTATTCAGATCTCGTTAATGGGAGATTGGTGTTATCGATCCGATCGGTGGGTCCTGCCATTTAAATTCCTCTTGATAGGTAACATAAACTACCCAGTAGCAAACGTTAAGTAAACCAAAAGACGCGGGAAAGACTATTCGCGCCACTCTGTCGATGTAAGACACGCTGTTTATGTGTCTCGATATACGATCACCGCATTTTCGATAACTACTGGCTACTTCCCGTTGCCGACGACGTCTGTAATATTTAATATTAATTATAACATGCCTTACGTTTATTATAAATATGTTTATATATATTAATTAATAATAAAAATAATACATAATATATATATTAATTATTAATAACATGTATCTAATATTGTATATAGAACAATAGTTTCCTGCAAGCATTATTATAAATAATTTAAACTACAAAAGTATACTTTTCTGCACAAGAGCATTTAATGGATACCTGAAAGCATCATCTCCTGCTAAGCAATAGAGAAACTGCCGCCATAATGGTAAAATGAGCTCAGTTTGTGTATGTCTTTCCATCGTTGACGGCTTTGAAGAAACAGCGACTGTTATAGAACGACAGGAATCTTCATATGTGACCCCATCCTGCCAAAAGCAAAATTTGAATGTATAATAATTGATATTTTATCAAATAATTCTAAGAAAAAGAATTGTTAGGAATTTAGAAAAAGAATTTAAAAGATAAGGTATTTTTACACTAATGTATAATTTGAAAGATTAAGAATTTTAATAAATTTATATGAAACAGAAACTATATATTAATTATTGATAAATTAATTCCTATGAATTAATTTATCTATTTTTATAAGAAAGCTAGAATATAAACAACGCAAATGTATCTAAAGATATTTAAAAAACTTTTTAAATGAGTGTATAAAAATAATTAATTTTTCCATAAGAAAAATGTCTCATATTATATATATTTGGATGTTTTATTTCAAATGCAATAGTTTTTATTGATGATATTTCCAACTTACGCTGTACAGTGTAGACATAAGAGACCCGCGTCTTCTGGTACTCGTGCCAACGATTTCCGGATGAACAGTCTGAGGACTGCAAGAAATCATTGTGCGAAATGTATCCTCGAATTCTTCACTCGTGATGCCTTCCGACTCTTCCCACTCTTCATCATCCAAAGGAATCTCGCCGCTACCAATCTGTAAATTAATCAACATTAAGTTAGTATATAAATTTTAATTTTTTTATAGATACATATTTACATAAAGTAAATTTATGCAAAAGATTTCTTCTACAAAAATCAATTTTGCCAACATCATTCTGTACAAAAGAATATATATTAAAACAAAATTATCAAAGTTAAGAATTTATAAAATATGTTTAAAAATATAATTTAATATATATTTAATATTTGTTGTAATATAAAATATGAA